ACTAGTATGCTGTGGGAAACAAGGAGCTCGTCCCTTGCTTAATCCCAAAACCCTTGGAGCGATGACGGAGGGTTGGCGTTTACATTACACGTCGTGATTCTGCACATGCTCTATATCGCGTAGGTTGTCGTTAGAAGTTATCTCTTTATCGACCTTTTCTAATCTCTTCATTAGTCCACTATGAAATTTTACTCTCTTCTTTAGGGGAGTTTTCTGAGTACAACGGACAACGACTCCAACGCTACCTTCCGTGTACTCTCTGAGGTTGACGCGCGTACAAGCTACTCCAACAACGGTGGTTTCAGCATCTCAAGCACTCGTGCCAGCACGAAGGAGACCTCCGGTGTGCCATTTAACCATGAAGATTCTGGCACGACCAGTGAGCTGATGACCATGTCGTCCGGATGGAAGACTACTCCGCGATTTTCAACCACGGACTCGAAACTGCAACAACAACAACAACAACAGCACGCAGCGTCTTGCCTAAAGTCATCAGCGCGTGGGTCAGTCAAGATGGATCTACCAGAATTAGTTGCTGGTTTGCCGGCCTCGCCACAGTCGCAGTACCACCAGAAACCTCGAAATGCACAGCTCAAGCGTCTGAAGAAAGGACATGAGCATGAGACTCAAGGAGATAAAGTGGAAGAAAGAGAAGATAACGACGTAGAAGACGAGGAAGAGGTGGAGGAAAGCGCGAGGAACAAACGTTACTCCTCACCTACATTTAGTTCTCCTCAACCAATCAATGAGACCTTCAAATTCGCGCGATGCAAGATGTTGGCCGGGTCACCAGCACAAGAAGAGAACAGTTCGAAGATGGGCTTAATGAGGACTTCCCTTTCAAGGGCCGCCTTTAGAGATGAATATGAAAATTTAGAGGTTAGTTTCTGGAAGCGTTTTACTACCTTCCTCTAGCGGTCTGCTGAGGATTTTTTGTGGCGAGCGTTTTATGAGTATGCCTTGGTCATTATGATAGTAAAGGATAAAGAGATTGAGGTCATCCTAATGAGGAATATATGCTGTACAAGCACCTCAAGATATGCCCTATTTTTAAGTATAACGTTTGAAGAGGGTGGAGTTTGCTACCAAGCGAGTACAAGAAATGATTTTTTGTTTAGGTTTTCTATAAAATGTATTTGAATTTATAAAGGCAGTCAAAATAAATGAAAAAAATGTATATTACTTAAGTAGTCACTTTTTGCAGTACATATGTTTTGTCAGCCGTCAGAAAGAAGCTCGATAAAAAGCCGGCATCCTTTCGTGACTGAAATGATTTCAGAATACATGTTGGCAAACATATGTTTTCGGCAATTCATCAGCGGGCCAGTAAAATGCAAGGACAGAAATGGTTGGGAGGTTACACGAATTCTAGTCCACACTATATATCATCAGCTCATTTAGCGTAAAAAACAATCATTTGGCAGTCTTAGGTTACCAGTTTGGAGGCAGAAGAGGTAAGGTGATAAGATAGACCCTTGAAGAACTCAGCAGTTGTTGCGAAGGAACGTGAATTCTCGCTGGTCGCGTTGGACGAATGGAGTGCGGAAAGGGAAATAATTTCCAAACCAAGAGCTAACTCTGCCGGGGGAACCGCCTAGAGCCGTTTTTAAGGAGGAGAATGCGCGGCATAGTATTAAAGGCTAGAGCATAGTCAAGATATGCCCATGCGTATGCATGGCAACCCTTATATAAATCTTTTAAAGAAGAATGGACCACAGGAGCAACAACGTCTAGGGTACTGCGTCTGGCCTTATATGTAAATTGAAAAGGGTCAAAAGACTTGGGAGGATAAAGGCGTGCTAATGTCTAAGTCAACTCATTCAGTAACTTTCAGTAGTTCGGAAGACCGGGCAATGAGAGTGCGGTTCCTGTTCTCATGTCCTGCCGGAAAGGCCATATAAACTACCCCTACTCTACTAGATAAATGCAAAGGTATGTAATTAATTTAAATTCCTCCTGAAGGATGGGGTTACTGGGTTCTATATTTACCAACATGTTCCCAGAGAGAGATATATAGTGACTCTTGTTTTATTTTGATAGTTAGGCCAGATGACCCATCTGCAGATGCTTGGAACGAGAAGTGCATAGGTGTTTAATTACTGAACACAGTTTAAGGGAGTAACAAATTGGAATAGCCTTTTTCTGTTCTCTGTTGTCATACACTAGAACGCATTTTCTTTGTTGTAGATGGAATCGCCACCTTTAAGTTTGACCAATCTCAGGTCGACCACGGACGTTTCTACTAAGTCATCTGCCTCAGACGGTTCCTTTGAGGACTACGGCCTACTGGC